CACTGGCCTACTGCGGCCCACTGCAAATAGATTGTAGTGGCATGGGCCATGCCATAATTATAGTAGTATACCGGTACTACACCAACAATTTCACTGGTGCACTGTACTTACTGGTACGAGTAGATCTACATCATGCACAGCCTTGTCACTGCTTTTCTCATTTTTTATTAATTTACTGTACTGTACACATTTTGGCACAGCTCTTCCACAAAGAGTTACTAGTATTTTCTTCTGCATACCTACTGTATACAGTGACCTGACTGGTAACATCTATGGCTGTGAAATCACAAATTTCTGGGTTGACAGCCTCGAACCTATACGATTTGTTTCTAAGAACGTGCTATAAGAAATTTTCTATTGAAGTATTCTACTGTAGCTCGCAGGACATGGAGTGCAATTACGTAAAGTTTGGAACACCACTCTTCTGTGATTTGGATGTCAAATTATGAAATTCAGTGTGTGAGGTAAACCCATGCATGGCATACACTGCTATAGTATGACTCGGGGTAAAGTGTTCCAACGCATACTCATTATAGTGAATAGTTGTGTGACCAACGTTGTTGCTGCTGGATAAATAGTACATATTCTGAGATAACTGAAGCTACACAGCCATCTAATGTTCAGACATGCATCGAAGGGGCCGTAACGAGATCTGCAAGGCATGATTCTATACCTGTATTTGATGCTCTCTAGCCTAGGACATTCACCTGCCTCATTTTCTCTGTGCTGCATTGATGAGTCCATTAGTAACTAAAGGACGAAACAGCATGCTGTCTGCAGATTGGTAATTGTGTAAAGACAGACGTGTATGTAGTGGTAAAGCTCAGATACATGTGCAACATAACAATCCCGGTGTTTGACAACAGCACAAACCTACACCGCAATTCTTAATTTTGGGCTGTGGTGTTCTTAGTATTCCAGGTTGGATGTTCTGTAGGCTTCCACGTTCTTGGGCGCACGACTTTACTGTGCCGAAGAATATTTTTCAGCCAATGAACCCAGAGCTTGGTGGCAGAGATGAGTGCCATGGAACAGCCTTTTGCATGTGGCTTTCACTACATGCACATGTATAACGCTCAATTGATGCGGAAAAATCAGACGAGGACTTTTGCAGTTATGAGCAAGGTCCCCACGAATGGTCATGTCACTTCACAGAATACATGAACTGATAGAGTAGACCTCGGTCCCCTCAGAGAACGCTTGGGGAAGTCGGGTTCAACCATAGATTTATACTTAACAGAGAACGCTTGGGGAAGTAGGTTTCAACCATAGATTTATACTTAATATTCTTTACAACAAGGATCGATGTGTTCCTTCGGATGCCCTTTATCGACTTTCACACACTTCTCCTCTCTCCTTTCGTCATAAGCACCATCTCTGTACACTGGTTCATAAAATATTTCTTCATAAAACCCCTTCACACATAATGAAGTACAACTGGTTTTCGACAAGCTCAACCCGTAACGCGCTTATCCTGCCTCTTGTTAAGTCAGCCCGGTATCTAAAGCCCCCCTTGTTTTCCGGTTATTCTCATTGGTTAACTGGGGACATGTCCAAAACCATACTAAGTACTTGAGCTGCTCATGAGCCCCACAATTATCAGGCCCGCCGGTCTGGTTGGTCAGGTTATCACCAGACCAACTTGTTGGCCACCAACAAACGTTTCCTACCGTGGAGGACGTGTGTACCCGCCATGAAACTACCGGACCAATCAAAAACTGCTTCCGGCGGCACTGATTATAGTACAGGTTTAAGTTAAAAAGCGGCTCCATTTTGTCATACATTAAACCAACTCTGTCATTGCTATGCTCCTCAAAAAGAGTAGTGATGTTTATTCACAAATGAATCACAATGCTATCAGAGAAATTTGATATTCTCCAATTTTAGGGGCACTGCAATACTATCCAAAATTAATGCTGCATGGTCATTGTTATGAAGCAGTCACTTCAGTACAGCAATTAAACAGGCTGATTATGTGAACGAGATTCACGGCAAATCTTCTTCCATCAGTGCTGTTCAGTCTTGAGTGGTCCACTGAGACAGGAAAACAACCTGTTCGGTCCTTCCATACGAGAAACAGAAATTGAACATGTTCCAGGGTGGAGGTGGCGAGTATCGGCAATGTAATGCACCTTTAGGCCAACATGACCATCATTCCGACATGGATTTTCAAACACCTTCGCTCGTGAGAGTGCCTCAGAGTGGTATTCATCAACAGATGGCAATCCTGTAAAACACATGAAAAGACATAGCAGCAACAGAAAGAAACCTAATGTTATAGAAACGAATTCGAAAAACAAAGTCTACTATTATTCTAATACAGTGAACCAAGGTACAACCACACTCCAGGAGGCAAGCAAAAGAGCATATAATCCGAAGGTTGCGATGCCTGGATGTATTGTATTTATGTATTTACGGATTCTCCACAGGCTAAATCGAGGGAGTCTTTGTCATGCCACACTGGATACAACATGCTACCAGAATCACTTTCCCCAGAATTGATGATCTTTTCTTAGGGTGTTATATAAGACACATCTGTAGCCACTTCATCTTGCTCACGAAATCATACACCACCACACAAACGGGTCCTTCGGCTATTATACTTTGGGTGGTACATGGTGATGTATGATATTGATAATCTATTGATACCATATTCAAGTCTGACTCTCACCGTGAGATCCTGGCAACAATATTACCTGGTACACGACATACAGTAAGATCGGGCGCCGAAGAACGCAGGGGCTCGAGCGCAGCCTAGGAAAGTTCTTAAATTTTTGATTCTAGCCAGACCGTTCTTATTCACACGCGCGCTGCGAGTCGAGTGACGTCATGACGTTTGTCATGTACATGTACATGTACGTGTAGTGCAATGACTTATGATGTGGTACTTCTAAACTATACTATAGTGGGTGTCGTAAATGGGAATGACTGTACATGTAGCAGTTACTGTTTACACATACTGCACTCATGTGGAAATTCCAAATTTTAAAAGTGTGCTTAAATCTGATAATTCTAGCCTGGACTGTTCTTAAATTTTGCCGGTTTTCCAGCCTGGGTGTTCTTCGGCGAGGTGTTCTTCGGCGCCCGATCTTACTGTATTCAGACACTGACATAAGCATCTTTTTGGAACAACAGGTGTGCCTATCTGCTAGTGTAATGTGACACACATGCAGAACACATGCAGAATCAGTCATAGCTAATTTTACCCCCTCACTGTTGTATGCGCAGACTCCACTTCGCGGTGTCAAGTACTCTTCTTTCGGTGGGCTACTCCACTAAGGCGCTTGTCTAAAAGGACTCACATTCATCCTGCAAACCAACACGACTTGCATAGTTTTCACTGTCGGCCAAAGTGCGTGCATTGCACACATTGAGATTCACTCCCTCCGTACAGGCCAGTACAGAGCTGCCCACCAATTGAGTCTGTTTTGCGTACTCAGACTTCTGATTTTCCGTATCTTGCAGTGTTTTGCGTACTGCCGTGTACATTGCATGCATACTTGCACTGTAATGTTTTTTGACACGCACATGCATGTCGGTGGCTGCATTTGGTAGTGTAAAACATGTGTGACTTGCACTCACGACATTATTATTTTTGTGCTACATGTACATGTTGTTGTGGTACGGCATGCACTCGCTTTGGTACAAGACTATTCATCACTCAGCTTACACTTGCAATGCTTCTACACAGCTGATTGATCCTCTCCGATTTTCTATACCATTTGCTCAATTTCTGTAGTGCGCACAAGGAGTGATTTTCCGTACAAATACAGAAAATATGGAGGGCTGGTACTTGGTAGCACTGCTAGTATGGTAGTACCAGGCTAAGCTGGCTGGAAGATCAAATACTTCTTTGGTTCTTTCAGTCATTTTCACGACATATGTTTTCTTTATCATGATCCCCGGGGTGTGACATTCTTATGAATGCAGAAACTCAGTCTTTCTAACCGAGTCTCACGTGCAATGTGAATTTGTTCTTCTTTTCTTCACAATGCCATGTATCGATTCATCGCTTCTTCCCACCCGAGATCCTATGCAACAGCGATTTAAAGATTGGCTTTATCAAATAGTTAATTCAGAGAGAGAGGATCAGTTGTGGATGCTGTGACAGCATAGAGTGTAGATTGGTGTAAACATCATTGCCCAGCAGAACCGTATTCACAGGGATCTGCGTTTAGCATATGGAAGCTATTTTTTTAGAATTTGTACACGTCCAATAAGCCTGAAGAGAAGAACACCTAACTTAGACTGTCCTAACGTTATCGAACGCACTGCCAAAGTAAAAACAACATTTGAAATGCAAACTCGATTGTGCATGCATGGAGGGCATGGGGAAGAGACTGAGAGGGTGAAAGTGAAGGAAATTTGTTCCGAAATCAAGAGAATCCGAGGAACCCTTGCTGCATTCTTCAGCTCGATAACGTCAGTGGGTGAATCTCAGATGTGTTGTGTGCCCAGACATACAAGTACAGCACTAACCTGAGCATGAGAGCTGCTTGTCATCATCGTGGTCAGGAAAACGAAAGGACGAACGAGGAAGATTGCTGACCATGCATGACGAACAACTGCATATCTAGACGACAGACGGCTTGCCAGAATCAGTCTGGTGTATCTTCAGGAATCTTCTTTCCTAATCGCATTCAGCAGTCAGCTTCGAGGTCAAGAACGCGATGATATTTTCAGAAGGAATAATTTTCAAAAATTTTAAATTTTGGAGAAGAAGCTTCCTTTCTAAAAAAAAAGCGGGCCTTGCTTTCACGCAAGGAGGTGCCTTGCCGGACATGTCGTCGACAGCACAGTGTCGGCAGATCCACGTTTGTAGGCTGCAGACCCGGCAGACGTTTTGATCATCCCGGCCTGGTGGTGAGATTTTGGACCCGGGAGTACTAAAAAGCTGCTCGCATCCCAGGGTGCTCAGTTTCGCTCTACCCGCGCGAGTAGGGGTCCAGGTAACGGGCTCTCTTTCGCGGCCTGCCGAGCATAATATACCTCGAATGAAGGGTGTACGTTTTGAACTGACGTGAGATGTCTCCTTGCCCTCCATGGCATGAATGTAGCTTCGGGTGAACCTTTTCTACTACAATGCCAGTGCAAGGCACTAACATCTACTTGTAGCTGTAGTATCTAACACTAGTAGTAGTGCCGCGTGCCTTCTTTCTCCCAGTCTGAAAATGATCCAAGGAACACATGATCGGAGGCCATTGTTTTAATTGATTGACCCGTTACATAATCTGTAATTGTTGCCAAATCCCTTTACTCTGCACGCCGTCATGGGAAAGCAAAGGGATTCTTCAAGTTCAGACACGTTTGCTCAGGAATACAGACGAAGATTAGGTAAGACTGCACCGTGACTTTTAACCTTGCATTTTCTTCACCTATTTGAGTATTTGTGAATTGACCACTCACTGCAAATGGCACGAGTAACAACATACATGTTTGTACCAGGGAGTCGTAAAATACCGGTATTTTACGACTCCCTGGTACAAACATGTAATCACATGAAAGTACTGTGTAGAAGTGCTGCGTGTACATAGGTTATGCGTTTAAGTCTTACCACGTACATGTACCACAGTAACTGCTGATCCAGACAAGATATGAGATGAAGTTTGAACGCTCATAGCATACTGAATTATGGTCTGGATCAGGGGGTCGTATAATATATTTGACGACTCCCTGGTCTGGATGACTTCAAGCATAGATACTATAGACTACGGTGCTGCTCAATGAAATCCGATCACGTGAATCGAGTTCGCGCCTTGCGCCAGTTCAACGTCCCAGTGCCTGCAGGTCCAGGGCTGCACAGCGCCCGGCATGGCATTCACTCGCTTGATCGGATTGCATTGAGCGGCACTACAGTAATTGTACTACTGTAGTATGTCATGTTACCTCGTACACAAGGATCTCAAGCTTCAGCATCAATCGATTGCATGCATCACCCACCCGCTGCCATTCAAAAAAACTTGCTCTCTGTGACTGGAATACTCTCGGCCCTTTCAGAGCTTCTATCATCTGCACATGGTATTGTACAGGCCTGCCGGAACCTGTCCAGTTGGTCCGGTTAACACCGGACCAACTCTGTAGCTAGCAATGTATGTTTACTGCTGAGGAGGGCATATGTCCCCGAAAAAAAGAGCATATGTCCCCGAAAAAAGGGCATATGTCCCCGCTATATCATGCACAAAGTATGAAGGACAATGGTACGACCGGACCAATTGAGAACTGCTTCCGGCGGTCCTGCTATAGTTGCATTTTTGTGTGCGTGTTTGTACGTATTAATGTGTGCACGTGCATGTGCATACGTATATGTCTCAGGTAGACAAGAGTTCCGTGGACGGAGCAAGAAGGACGCGCTCAAGGTGCGGGACAAGGCACAGGCACGGCAGACCAACCAGAGCTACATCAAGGTACATGCGCAGTAGTGATGAATTGCCAAACTCATTCCAGTGTAAAACCTTACACACACACACCATCTTCAATCCAAGTGGTCTCTTCGCAGAAAATTACAATAATTCAGGATGATGATGGCTCCTGGCCGAAAATTTGATTGAGAATTATTGTAATTTGCAGCGAAGAAACCACTTGGATTGAAGATGGTGTGTGTGTAAGGTTTTCCATGGCTGCAGTGGAGCTTGCGCACATTAAGAACTCATTCCAGTGTGCCGCTACATATTTAGCAGAAAGCAAACTACTGTTTGTGCTGCAGCATGGCAGTGGTCTTGTCAAGAATCTCCTTTTTGCCATCCACCTTGAATGAAGAGTCAGACGACACCAGCTATACACGCCAAGGGATATTCCAGGTGTTAGCGGCAGTCGGGAGTTCCCTTAGGAACAGTACTTTGCTTGGTTTAAGGGTGGCTTGTCATGTGACAACCGCTCTGTTCAGCTGCTACTCGCTCTCAGTCAAAGCGCTGCGTTTCGGGAAAAAAATAGTTTATTATTGCCTTGTACTTTCCAGACCTATCACCTATTGTCAGCACAATTTACATGGGATGAACTTGACCTTTTTTTTAATCAATTTACACCGGCTGAACCTGGCCTTTTATCGATTTACATAGGGTGAGTCTGGCCTTTGTATCAATGTACACGGGACGAACCTGGCCTTTTTTTTGCAGCGGCATGAAAACGAGTGCATACTACAAGGAGTATTAGTATACAAACAGACGAAGAGAAGTACACTACAAAAGCTGCAATACCCTGTTGATGCTCACGCAGCTGCTTACAATCGTAGCCTATGAGAGAGTCTGGGGTTGGTTCTGTTTCTTGTGCCCGTGCAGGACGTCATTTTGTCGGTGTCGGCACTGGCGCTGGTGTTAGCAGTCCTCTACATGATCATCTTCTACAGTCTACAGCGATAGCAGGGGCACATGAGCTGAACAGTGCAGCACTGTTGAGTCGTGTTGGCCCCCAGTGCAGTCGCGCACTATACTGCTGTAATCTGAGTCTCTCTGGCAGCAGCAGCAACCCCAGGTATAGCCATGCACTGTACATCTGCAATCTGTAGCATGCCCGAGAACTGTGGACGTGTGCTCTACAGACTGAGTGCAGTGGCAACCAGTACTGGGCGCCTCACTCGTGGAGAAGTCAAGTGCCACCGTATGAGACTATCAGTGCATCCATCCGGGCAGCAGACATGCGTGCGTGGTCGTACGTGCATGAACATCCAGTCCTGACAGCGCTTGGTTCAAGATCAGTCTACACCGTCAGCTGTCCAGTGTGGCAGTTCTCACGGAAATTTGTCTGCTTGACTTCAACAATCGTGTCTCTTTAAAAAATTCAATGTAAAACACTACATAAAACTATGTACATGTACAACAATCAGATCATGATGATCAATATTCAGTGTACATGTATTGTTAACAACACATGTACTTTGAAGTAACAAACAGTTCGAATGTTTATTCTTATTCTCTCAATGGTGTGTTGCACTCGGACGCTTTTGCTACATTTCCTGCTGGTTTGTGATGGCTATCATGATCTGTGGATTACACCTGTATGACTGCATCTGTTGAGGTACTTTTCGTTAATAAGAGTTACGCCAGTGAAGTCATGAGTTGTTGTTGTCGTCGTCGTCGTTTGTTGCTGTTGTTGTTTCAAATCTTTATTCTCACGATAGCCAGTGGCCAATAAGAGATAATAGTGTAAGAAAGGAGAAAGAGTGAGGAAGAATTGGGTGGGCAGAGCCTAGGGGTTAATGACTACTTAAGTGTACGGGCAGGGGTGGTCGCTACACGAGCATGTTGTTGTTGTCGTCGTCGTCGTCGTTGTTGTTGCGAATGGCAGCATCAGTGACTGGCAAGAGCACAGACTACAATGTCTATGAATTTAGATCCTGTCCACTACCTTTGCTATAAGAGAAGTGCGTGCACATCCAGTTCATCTGCAGATTTGCGTGGTTCTCCTGCAGCGGGCGTATAGTGTACTATGTACCATCAAGAGTACATAACCCCCGGGGCCGGGGGTTATGTACTCTTGATGGTACATAGTACATGAATAAGGGCCACACCCTTAGATGCGTGAGATTTGTGAATAGAAGACAATACCTGTGCATTATGCCATCATGGTGGCTATACATGTACTGTTCACCCAGCAATACTGCAAAACCGGGAATTTTCGGCGGTGTAAATACTGCAATATTTTCGGTATTTCCCGAAATCAATGGTTTGGTAGCGCGAAAATTTCGGTGAACCAGTTTTCCAGATCCAAAAATGCATTTTGCACACTGTGTGACATGGCATGGTTGAATTTTAGGTGGCGTTCTATTTTACGTAAAAATTACCTGTACCGAAGTTACCGAGAATAAAACTCCACCGAAATTTTCCGGAAAATCCCCGAACCACTATTTCCCATTGTTGTTTCGCGAATATATTTCAGCAAAATGACCAAACCAGTTCCAGGCTTGTAGCCAAGTGGCCCAAAGCGCCACTATGGCATAGCATGCCACTGTACCCCCTCCCCCACTTTCAGAATCAAAAGTACCACTGTCCACATCATGATCAGTTTTCTTGGAACCGTACACCTCTATTTCCCATGCAGTGCAGAATGCATTAATTCCGTGAATGTAGGTGCTGACAAGTAGACCATTGGCGCTTTGCTGGTTCATTGCCAGTACTGTACAATTGAAGAGGGAATAATGGAGTTTTTTGACCATACTGGACAGCCATGTTGGGTCCTCTCTGTCCACATGCCATGAATCAGGATCAAGGAGTCGTAAAATACCGGTATTTTACAACTCCCTATTAATCAGGATCACCTTCCACACAAATTTAGTCACATGACCAAGAGGTGAAACTCCACTATGGCTAGACCAGGGAGCCAGTAGTCAAATTTGTGACGACTCCCTTGACTAGCATGAAGAGCAGGAAGGAGTTTTGGTGCTGCGCTACTTCTCCCCGATCAAGAGTATACTCCTGCTCATACGTGGTACTCCGAGTGTGGAGCGATGCCGATTTCAAATTGTCCTAGCTGCTCCTCTTCAATTACAGTATTTACTGGCTATCGACTATCGTACAACCCCAAGGCCATGCATGGCTATTATAGGTGCCATCTCACGAGATAATATTTGACGTGTAAAGGAATTTCTGCTGCTCTCTTAAGACTCTTTTCAGTCAACTGCCAAACAGAATAGCAGCAGAGCACGCCGCCAATTCAATTGCACTTCAAAGCACATGTACACTGAGGATTTAAAGGGTCATGGGCAACGGAAGCAAGCAAAGAAATGGCAGAAGTTCAATCCATGATCATAGTGATTCAACAGCCGCGCGTTGGCATCACGGCTCGTTTATGTTAGGGACATGGGCTACAGCAATCTGATGCAAGCCTGTAGAATTCGTCTGTATGAGAGCGTGCCTCTGTATTGCATTGCCAGGCAACTCTGTATGTTGCAAGCAGTCTCGGTGTACGCTGGAAAATACGGCTCTTGTACCACTGGTGCATGCCCCTAACGTGGTGTCCATTCAAAAGAAAACGAAATCAACTGAGCTGAGAAAAAACCCAGCTAGTGGTTAAAAACATGCGTGGATTCGTCTCCTCATCGTGTCACCGTCTCGTCCAGCGGGAATGCCTCCACGACTTTCGAGTGGCTCTTCTTGCGATTAAGCACCATTCTGCTCATAAACTTTGTGGCGGCAATCAGCTTCATCAGGTCGACACCCTGCAATGAGAAGGCAGACAGAAAAGAGAATCAAGTCATGGTGTACCGGTACGTGAACTTAGATCAGAAGTTCATGGCGATATTGTGATGGCGTGTTCAACTAATTTCATTTGCACGGCGTGACACTTCCTACAGTGCATTTCAAAACTATAGACGCGTAGGGTTTTTGAAATATTTCAAATTTGGCTGGAACTTTTTGAGAATAGTTTTCGGAATATTGCTCAGGATCGCTCCACAATTACTCTCATTATAGTTTCTAAAGGATTGGATAACAGACGCCCAATTTGGAAAAATTTATGCACAAAGTGATCACAGATTTTATGTGGTATAGATGCTGGCATAACGGTTTTTGCCTAGGTACGCGTCTATAGTTTAGAAATGGACTGTAGCCCTTACCCTGGATTTGACATTCGGCAGAACTGTGGATACCGTAAACATGTAATTTTCGGTGAAACTTTAATTTCGGTAGAGAAACCAGGCACCTAAATTTAAATTACACCTACAAGGCACTAGAGTATGCACTGAATGTGAAGGGAACGCTGGTCACCTATTCAAACTCTAAATTACACCCGAAACCTGACAGGTCCCCGGCACCGAAATTTTAATGCACCTAAAATTACATGTTTCACAGTACACCTGGACCAGCTTGATCATTGGCAGTGATAGCAGACAACGGCTACATGTAGTATAGCTCCAGCAGATCCAGCTATAGCAATCACTCTTCATGATCGAATTCAATAAGAATTTTAAGACACATTCTGGCTTTTATATTCATATCTTTAGCACACACACCAACACCAACAGAAGCAGCAGCACCCACACGGCAACAACAGCAGCAACAACAACAACAACAACAACAACAACAACAACAACAACAACAACAACAACAACAACAACAACAACAACAACAACAACAACAACAACATCTCTTATTGGCGATGGTGCCATCGTGAGAATAAAGAATTCAAACAACAACAACAACAACAACAACAACAACAACAACAACAACAACAACAACAACAACAACAACAACAACAACAACAACAACAACAACAACAACAACAACAACAACAACAACAACAACACTTACTGGCCACAGGCCATCGTGAGAATAAAATATTTCAAAAACCAACAGAAGCACCGAAAGCAGCAACAGCAGCACCCACAAGGCAACAACAACAGCAACAACAACAGCAACAACAACAACAACAACAACAACAACAACAACAACAACAACAACAACAACAGCAACAGCAACAGCAGCAACAACAACAACAACAACAACGTGTGAGAATAAAGATTCGAGACAGCAACAACCACAACAACCACAACAACAACAACAACAACTACAAGAACAAGAGAAAGAACAACAAGAACAACATCTCTTATTGGCCACTGGCTATCGTGAGAATAAAGATTTGAAACAACAACAACAAACAAGAACACGGACAACACCAGCAGCAACGTACCGTGTGTATTTGCATGCCAGCCAACATGAACACCAAGTCCTCGGTGGCAACATTGCCCGAGGATCGTGGCGCGTACGGACAGCCACCGATTCCACCAGCTGATGAATCGAAAGTTGTCACACCCATCTGCACAAGCACAATATGGAAAAGTCAGTTCCCAAAGGAGACGAACACCCCTTCGATATGATTTCTCACAAAGCTCACAAGATCCAATGATGTAGAAGAGGTTACAAGAATGGCATCAGTGACAAGTTAGTTCATGACTTGTGTACATGTGCCAGTTATGAGTGTAGCTTTAGGTGCGATGAAAGCACTCAAGCTAGAGCCTTCGCCTCAAAGGGCTGCTGCCAACATGCTCTCTCCCCCAGCGGCTCACAGACCTCACGGTTGATCCACGGGAGAGTGATACACGTACAAAGCAAGGCAGTCAGCAAGAGGCTGAGGACTGCCGCCGTGGCGGTGACTCACCTCCAGACCGGCCAGAATGTTAGCGAGCGCCTGGCCGTAGGAGTCGTGGCAGTGCAGGGCCACCTGCTCAACCGGTATGCGCTGCAGAACGCTGTACAGCATCGAACGTGTGCTGCCTGGAACGTCACAAGCACCAGCAGCAACAGAGAGGAGAGAGAGACAGCGAGGATGAGTCTTTAAACAGGAAAGGCATATTGTCAGTCAACGAATATCAGGCGCATATTAATTTTCGGCCATTTTCTGGCCGAAATTTTTTTTGCTGAAGGTTCAAGGTGGCACTCTATACGGGCAGCAGCATTAACAGGCTGAAATTTTAATGCGGCCGAAATGTGTTTTAACTTTTAGCCCTGGGAGGCCAAAATTTGAACGCACCCAAAAAATTCGTAGACTTACAGTGCAGTCAAGTGTCACTG